CGTTCCCGGCAAGCTCTGTGAGAGACGTGGTTCGGGTAGAGGGTCACAGTGCTTCGGAGAGGACAACTCACAGGGCCCCTCCGCGGTCTCCGCCAGGCAGAGGCTGCGAATTCCAGTCCCGTCCCCTCGCTCCGGTGCGCTGGGGCTTTGAACTGGGGCTGGCTGGTCCCCGAGGGGGTCTGGACTAAAACTCGAGCGCCTCTCGCCAGCTGCTAACCCGGCCGCTGTGCAGTAGCGGACGCAGGTCGACACCGCTAGCAGGGCTGATGAGAGTGGGAGAAAGGGGGGACAGTTGGGCTGGGGCCCCGAGCACCAAACTGTCTGTAACTGGGGTAAAATGGTACCACGGCCCCAAACTTCTCTCCCCGGGCAGGACCGCTGGGCCTTCAGCACCATCCCCAGTTCCCCCAGTGTGGCCAGACAGGTTCTCCCACGGGCCCAGCGCAGAGAACCGGGCGTGTGGCCCACACGCCGTAGCCCCTCTCTGGAGCCAGCGGCGGTTGGGCTGCTCTCGCTGCAGCGAGGCCGGCTCTGGGGGAGTCACTAGCGCATGGAAACCTAGAGCTCCTGCCACCGGTAGAGGAGGCCGGGGAGGGGAAGGAACATGCTGAGAACCAAAGGGAAAGTGGGTGACAGAGCTGGGACTGGAGCCTTAATTCCTGACTCCCAATCCCCACTCCCCCCATCTCTGACCCACTAGACCCTGCTCCCCTCCCAGAGCTGCAGAGAAAACCCAGGACTCTGGGCTCCCAGTGCCCCCCCCCAACCCTCCCCCTCAAAAAACCCCTAGACTCTCTTCCTTTCCATGATGTGTATAAGGTAGACCAGGATTGACATGGCTGTGGATTCGGATTGAGGGGCACTGGCAGGGCTGGGGGGGAGTCCGGGGCTGCGAGTTGGGAGTGAGGGGCACCGGCGGAGCTTGGGAAGCCCAGGGCTGGGCTAGGAGGGGGCTGCAGGTCGGGAGTGAGGGGCACCGGCAGGACTGGGGTGGACCCCAGGCCTGGGCTAGCAGGGGCTGTGTGAGGATCCTCGCTTAGCCCCTGATGTATCTGTCTGGCACTACTCGGTTGATTTCCTGGGTCTCCTTCCCCCTGCTCCGTTGACGGCCATGCTGACGCCCCCTCTGCTCTCTGTGCCCTCAGGGGTCGTGGACACAGCCGGTGGCAGTGCCGTGTGGTGAGTGCCTACCGAAGAGCCCGGCCTGTTCCGAAGCACTGACCCGCTGCAGGAGGAAATGGAGTATGAACGGAGGTACCATCTCCCCACGCCAATGGGCCCATGCGCCCCTGTACCGGGAGGGCTGGGGCGAGCGCTATGCTGCGGGGCAGGGGGCGCTCTCCCCTAGCAGGCAGGGCTGGGTGCTAGAGGGCACGGGGCAGGGTGGGGGGCTCAGCAGGCGGTGCTCTGCCCTGGCAGCCCATGGTGGTGAATCTACACCCCTTGTTCCCCCCAGAGGTGGCCGCGGGGACCGAACGGGCCGATATGGCGCTGCTGACCGGTCCCAGGACGACGGCGTGGACGGGCGGACCCAGCGAGACCACGACTACCGGGACATGGATTACCGCTCGTACCCCCGCGACTTCAGCAGCCATGAGGCCGCTAACGAGTACGACTCATCCGAGGAGCAGAGCGCCGAGGTGGGCTCCAGCCCCGGGGGCTGTAGCCTTGTGGGCTGGGTGGGCCTCTCTGCCAGGGGGTGGGGACGGGACGGGACGCGAGCGCCGGGCTGCCCTGACCCTGTCCTCTCCCACCAGGATTCCTATGAGGCCTCCTCGGGGTCGGAGACTCAACGCAAGCGGGACAGCCCCACCGAGCCCCTGGGCTACCCCGGCGACGGGGACTACCGCGACCAGGACTACCGGCCCGAGCCAGAGGAGGAGCAGAAGGCCAGCAGCATCGTCATGCTAAGGATGCTGCCCCAGTCCGCCTCCGAGAACGACGTAGGTCTGGGTGTTGGGGGCTGGGAGCCAGGACTCCTGGGTTCTTTTCCCCGGCTCTGGGA